ATCAAGAATTAAAATAACCAACGCTTAAAAATGATAACATTTAATACATGATATAAGTAGTATCAAGGTCTCAAAATAAATATTATTTAGTGAATGCAATTGCCATGAAAAAAATTAAATTGCATCTTAAGAAACTTGCTGCAATTTATGTGACATCATAGAGCTGTATAATGACACACTTTAGTGATGGCACAATTGTCAAAGGGTTCTTGGTGTTATCATGGCATTTATATGTGCTATTTATGTATAATTAATTCACAAAGCGATTTTCTTGCTTCGAATCTGTATAATGACATACTATAGTGATGGCACAATTGTCAAAGGGCTCTTGGTGTTATCATGGCATTTATATGTGCTATTGATTTATAATTAATTCACAAAGCGATTTTCTTGCTTCGAAATCGAACTCCTAAATTTTATACTTTTAATTGAAACATCAGAATTTGAAGTTGGGGGAAGCTGATGAAATTGACAGTATTTTTTAAAGTTAAATAGATCTAATGTTTAAATTCTTACCAAAAAAAAAAAAAAAGAAAAAATGAACACCATCAAAGTCTTGCAAAAAGCATTAAAGTACTTGAACTTCTTTTAAAATGCCTCAAATAACATTTCTATAATAAATTTATTAAAATTAAATAAAAGGATATTATTGTATATAAAAAAAAAGATTGCAGAAACCGATTCAGCCGAACGAGCCTTACAGGATTAAAAAAGCCATTTTTTGAAATGTTAGTTGTCGTACTTATCCTATCCTAATTGTTATGTTGACCTATCAAGGTGACGTACCAACCTCATCTGTCAAATTGCTAGCTATTGTGTCGTATTTGTCAAGTTGACCTGTAGAGTCAACTCGTCGAGGTGACCTTCCAACATTATTTGTCGAAGTGTCAGCTGTCATATCCCAGCAGTCGAGTTGACTTGTGGAGGTGACTCACTGAGTTCATCCAGCCATAACCCACAAAAGAAATCAATCATTGAAGTATCAGTCATCATCAAGGAAAGAACAAGCAACTATATCCATTTAGAAGCCGTATGACACCCACTTCAGTATTTTCTTTCATTAACATTATGTGGGAAAACTTCGTACTGCACTATAATTATTTAATATTTCTCATTGTAAGGCCTATGTCTAACCATATAAATAAGGATACTCTCCCCTCTTAAAAGAATTTTTTCATTAGACACTCTCTGAGGACTTTAGACTCTGGAGGACTTTTTACTCTCTCGACTTTAGAGGTATAATTAATTTTCTCCTTGGACCTTTTAGTATCTTCTTAGATAATATAAGCTAGTGCTTTTTAAATTCCATCCATTTTCTTTCACCACTTCCTTCATAGATCTTCCCTAGGTTGCATGAGCCCACGAACAACACTATATCCAACATCATAAGAAGATTCAATATATTCTGGGATCGAAGTTGTGCGGCCCATTGAATATGATATTCATAGCCAAAATGTTCTTACGCCTATGAACTTCAAAGAAGGCAAGTTATAAAAGTGGAAGAAAGCAATCAATGAAGGTCTTAGCTGCTCACTGGACCTCCTAGAAGAACTTTGGGATGAACCTTTAATATGATAAAAAGAAGTTAAGATAAAAATGGAAAGTACTATGATACAATGGTCTAAGAAAGAACATTCGTAACATGTGACTTAGTACTCAAAATGGATGATAAATCAGCTCACAATTACACTTTTAAAAAGCTTGATCCATCATGGACCAGACCACACCTCTTTTTGACATGTTTACGCCACTTATGTTGCAGCCATGCCACCCAAGGGTGTAACTACGCCACTTGTTCGACAAATAAACATAATTACACTAGCAAGGCAACATGACTATGTCATCATTACTCCACCTCCCGCTCGCTTTTGAAGTGCTAACCAAGATTGCATTTGTCTGTCACCACCTCTACCGCATATTTTAACCCCCTTCACTTCTAAGAAGAAGGAATCAACCATTTTATTTTTCTCTTTAGTGTGCTCTCCAACTTTTGGCATTCTTGATCGATCTGCTTCTCCTCTAGTGCTCATTGGCCTCTTCATTATAGATTCTTCTTATGCTTTCTCTCTTCTTCTACTGCTTGGCTTATATTCTTCTTTACTTCTTCCTCTCTTCTCTTCCACTTCTCTACTTATTCTCTTCTTTCTTCTTCTTCTATACTTCTTCTCTTCTATTTGTCTTCATCTCTTCTCTTCTACTTCTTTCATTTCTACTTTTCTATTTTTCTTCATCTCTACTTCTTCTACTTCTTCACTTCTCTATTCTTCTTCTTCTTCTATCTTGTAGTTCCTCTCATTATTTCTTCTCTTCTCACCACTACACTTTCCATCCATTTTCCATTTAGTTACTTTCATGTATGATTATGTCATGATTACCCTCATATTTTTAGATGTAAACATAACTTATTCTCCATCTGGTTATTTTCTTATATGTTCATATAAAGTTTACTTATAAAATTTTCTCTATGTGAAGTTTCCATGTACATTTTCTATGTGTTTTTGTTTATTCACATGTTTTTCTTTCTTTATAAATCGCAATGTGTATTTTACTTCCATCCCCATATGAATTCTTCATCACATGTAACTCTCTCCATGTAAATTTTGTGTGTTTTCTCCTTACATGAGTAGTTAACATGTGTAGTTCGCTTACATTCTTATACAAAAATTCCTCTGCTTCCTAGGCCAAAGTACACCACTTGTCTACCAAACTTTCTTACCCTTGTCAAAACTCTAGCTCTTCCCCACCCTAACCAAAACCCTAACCCTTCCTCTACCCTAGTCTAAACCCTAGCCCTTCCTCACCTTAGCTAAAACTCTAACTCTTTGTCTACCCGAGTTGAAACCCTAGCCCTTCCTTAACCTTAGCCTGAAACCCTATTCCCACTTTAGCCGAAAAACCTAGCCTATGTCCACCTCCACTTTAGCCAAAACTTCCACCTTTCACCCCACAAACTCTACATCTCGTAGCCTAAAAAACTTTGATTCATACCTCACAGCCTACATCCATTAGCCTAAATCCACATTCACACGCTCAATGGTCGAACCACACCACACATCCCTCCTCTTTTCTCCCTTCTCCTTTCAACCTTGGCAAAGCCACTAACCCCTCTTCATTTCTTCCCATAGCTAAACCCTACCTCAACTGGTTTATTTGCATATGTTATTTAAATATATACACATCCTCATATGTAACTTACTTGCACATATAGTCCTAACGTAACTCTACCCTATATGTAAATTTCATGTGTCTTCATATGTAAGATTGCAATTTATGATTTTTTTTATATGTAGGATTTTCATGTTTAGTTTATTTACATGTGTAAAATTTCAATGTATAGTTCACATGTATGTGCTTTTCCTTTGCATGTATAAACCCTCCACATGTGTGGTCTTCATAACGCATAGTTTATCTCCATATGTAGGCTTCATATTTTGTCATGTGTAGATTTTATTATAATTTTTTCCATGTGTAATTTACCTCCATGTGTAGAATTCATATATTTTCCCCATATATTGAATCCATGAACTTCAATGAACCATGTGTCAGACTTACAAGATTTCTCCAAGTGTTAAACCCATGAGTTTGAAAGAATCATGTGTAGGTTTCCTATGAGATTTTCTCAATGTATAGTTTACTTTCAGGTATAAGTTTAATGTATTTTTATATATATAATTCTTATACGCTTTCATATGTTGCTTTCATATGCTATGACATGTAGTCTCCATGCATGTGTGGGATGTTCCTTGTATAAGCTTCTTTATGCGTTAAATATTTTTACATGTGTTAAGTATTACTCTTTGTGCTAAAATTTTCTTCATATGTTAGTTATGTGAAAGTGAAAAAAAATAATGATACAAATAAAAAAAAAGGAGAACCTCTCATACTTAGGTTTTCTTTGTCATGTTCAAGTATGTTACATAAAATGTGGCACTTGCTAGCTCACATAACAAATATAAATTAATTTACAAACTCAGATAACTTAGGCCAAAATTCCTCTCAAAATAATGTTTAAAATTTTTTAAAACATTTTAAATATTAAATTTTTAAAAATACTTTTAAAATAATTTAAAAATATTTATTTTAAAATGCTTTAAAATATTTTTGTAAAAATAACTAGCTGAAAGTTCATCGAGTTTAGGCAAGGCCTCTTCCAATATGTTCAAGTTGGAATCGCCACTATGAACTTTGTGAGCATAAATTTCCATTAAAATAAAATTTTGAAGTCCTACAGCCCACAGGTTTCATTAAATTCTATTGAAAACTTGGAACACAGGTTTACGGCATTCAGTAAAAGCTAAACCCGCAGAGCACTCGAACGCGGTAGGAAGAGGGGAAAAACAAAAGGGTTACTGTTGCCGTCCTCAAATCGTTTAGAGTAACAGAAGATCGGAAAGTAAAAAAAAAAACCCGCACTGCTCCTACACTTCTCCTTCGCTGGTTTCGTCGTCCGAACGATGATCTGAAAAAGGTTGCGATTTGAGGACGGCGACACACACGTTTTCGAAGAAGCGGATCCCGCAAACGAAAATCGCGCCACCGTATCAAACGAGGCCTAAAATTGATATGGAGTGTTTTTGTTATAAACTACTGATAGTGCTTTCGGTGAATGGATACATCAACAACTTGATATTTATTTGTATAAAGAACTCGTCTCTGCACATCATCGTGTAAAGAAATGAATGATGTAAAGCCAAAAGGATGAGACACAGAACATTGTTAGGTTTGGGGGCAAAACTGACTTTTAATCCTTTGCAAAAGTAGGGACAATGTAGGAGTCATTTGCCATTTGAAAACGGCAAAAAATGATTTTGAGAAAAAAGTCTTGACATAAGATGTGGCTAAATGAACGCCGTTATAGTAAACACTCGGCACCTAAGAGCCTTTTCTAACAAGGCCGCGCGTAGGCCTCTACCTACCCCGTAACGAGTCGTTAAAGCTAACGGTGCTACTTCACCAACCCGCCCCCGACGTCGCTCTATAAAACCTTACCCTCCTCTTCCATATAAACCAATTAAATTACAGTCTGCTCTAATCTCAGCGCGGCATTCTTCTCTCTTCGCAGCGCCATGGATCTGGTGCTCGTTGAGAAGGCGCTACTGGGCCTCTTCGCTGCGGTGACTCTTGCCATCGTCGTCTCTAAGCTTAGCGGTAAGAAGCTCAAGCTCCCGCCGGGACCTCTTCCGGTACCGATCTTCGGCAACTGGCTTCAGGTGGGCGACGATCTCAATCACCGAAACCTTGCCTCCATCGCCAAGAAGTTTGGTGAGATCTTTCTTCTCCGAATGGGCCAGCGCAATCTCGTCGTCGTCTCATCGCCGGAACTTGCCCGAGAGGTCCTCCATACTCAGGGCGTCGAATTTGGCTCCCGAACTCGCAACGTCGTCTTTGATATCTTTACCGGGAAGGGCCAGGACATGGTCTTCACTGTATACGGCGAGCATTGGCGCAAGATGCGTCGCATAATGACCGTCCCTTTCTTCACCAACAAGGTCGTGCAGCAATACCGATATGGCTGGGAAGATGAGGCCGCTCGCGTCGTCGAGGATGTCCGTCAAAACCCTAAGGCGACCACCGAGGGGATTGTGATCCGCCGCCGCCTGCAGCTCATGATGTACAACAATATGTACCGCATCATGTTTGATCGAAGGTTCGAGAGCGAGGAGGATCCACTGTTCATGAAGCTAAGGGCCCTTAATAACGAGCGGAGTCGCCTCGCTCAGAGCTTCGAGTACAACTATGGGGATTTCATCCCCATTCTCCGGCCGTTCCTGAGGGGTTATCTCAAGATCTGCAAGGAGGTGAAGGATGTGCGACTCCGCCTGTTCAAGGACTATTTCGTTCAGGAGAGGAAGTGAGTTAGTTTCTCTTTATTTCCTTCCGCTCGATTTCGATCTCGTCATTAGACATTGGATTCAGCGCCCCGCTTCCGCCGCATCCTTCCGCTCGATTTCGATCTCGCCATTAGACATTGGATTCAGCGCCCCGCTTCCGCCGCAGAAATGCTATTAAGTTTTGGCTCAGATTCATGCGAAATTTATGCATGCAGGAAATTGTCGAGCACGAAGCCGATGGATAACGCTGGACTCAAGTGCGCGATCGATCATATACTTGACGCCGAAAAGAAGGGCGAGATTAACGAGGATAACGTTCTCTACATCGTCGAGAACATCAACGTTGCAGGTAAAATTTCCGCTTCTTTTTAACATCGATAAATTTTTTGACGGTATAATTAATTAATCCTCACTGCATCCAAAGGCACATTGGCATGGTAATCATGCGCCTTCTAACTTTGTGGGCCATGGCCACTTAAATCAATTGTTTACCCTGTAAAAATTTTAACGGAGCCCTTACCAACTTATCATAAATTTATTTATTTACACTGCCCTATAAATATAGCAAAAATGAGATAAATTATTAATAATCAACTTAGAAAATGAGAGAAATCTACTTTTAGAAATAATTTTGTTTGATTCTAATTTATTTTTTGTGAATTATGCCACGAGAATCAAAGCGAGTGAGGGGGAGAAAGAGGAGATAGTTGAATAAGTCTTAGGGTGGATCGAGGAAGAGCTACTTTTATTTATATGTTTGTCCATACTTATAGAAGCGTGTTTTATACAATTATAAAAAAAAGGAAAATGTTATGAAAATCTTTTCTGATGTCGTTAAGAATCTAGTTTTTTGTATAGATTATATGTTATATTTGTATTATAACTTGAATTTTAATATTTACGGTAATTTGCTGGTCAACTAGCTTGAAGTCTATTGACTTAAGCTGCCGATCGATTGATATATGTGCTCTCAGAAGTACGTATTGGTCGGTCGAGGTGTCGACCACATGATGATTTTTCTTGGTGTCATTTGACACAGTCAACCAAAGCGGTAGGTTAAGGTGGTCATTACGTCCGGATACGAGGTTAGTCGACCGAACGTGATTAGTCAGTATTTTTTTTTTGTTGTTGAGGAAGTTGTGGCTCATTTTCTATTCGGCTTGAGTCTTACAGGGCTTGTGTCTTGCCTTTCTGGTTGGTTTATATTCTTGACCGGATCTCCCAGCACAGTCAACCAAAGCGGTAGGTTAAGGTGGTCGTAACATCCGGACACGAGGTTAGTCGACCGAACGTGATCAGTCAGTATTTTTTTTTTGTTGTTGAGGAAGTCGTGGCTCATTTTCTATTCGGCTCGAGTCTTACATGACTTGTGTCTCGCATTTCTGGTTGGTTTATATTCTTGACCGGATCTCCCAATATTGCAAGGTCTTAGACGGATCTTGTCACAACCTATACGGGTATCTTATGAAACTCGTTGTCGAGATGATTTATGACTCAATTTCGGTGGGTCTTGCAGCTATCAGTAGGGAACCATCTTCAAAGCTTGAACTTTTCCCAGATTTGGAGACGCGACTTCATGCTCGGTCTTAAATCAACAGTTAATTGCTTAGCATGAGGGGAGACTCTTTCATCTTGATTGTTCATTCTCTTTGAGATTCGTGCAGATATTTTTGGCAATACAAATCCTTTTCTACAACTTACCCATTTTTTGTTAGTTCTGATGGTTGATTGCTTCAAGCCCGTGGCTCATGCGGCGTGATGCCATTCGGAGTTGGGGGATTTTCGCGCTCCCGTCAGGGCGTTAAATCCCTAGGTTACTAGTCGCAGGATAGCAGGTGCTAGGCCGGACATGTAAATATTAATTGAATAGGTCAATTTATGCCCAGTTAAAGCCACCCGAAAACGAGCAGCAAAAACATTCCCACGTCTCCTATAGTCATTGGCTTCGTATTTGGATAAAATTACATGAGGTCGTCGGTGCTAGTTACCACCTTATCTGTTAAAAAAAAAATCAATTTTTTTTTATTAAAATTTTAGGATTGAAATTCTCCTGCAACAAATATATGATTCTACACTTCACATTTAAAAAAGAAAACATTAATAATCCTACTTTACACTTAGATATAATAGGAGAAAGATTATTAGATCCGAACGAGTTGTTTTCAGATTAGTTGCACATGATAGTATTTTAGGTATTATTGATAATATTAGTAATCACTTATAAGAGATTTTTCTTGTTAAAATACTTTTTTCAATTTTGAGCATATATATTTATACTAATCTTACTACACTTCATGTCCTAAAAATATTTGAATGATAATTGATAACCACAATTAACAAAAATAAAAATCAATTTTAAACTTTAAACTTTCTTTAATATTTATAATATAATTATTTTATACAACATCAACATTTTTTTATCTGTTGCATGCAATATATTTAGACATACACCCTCACTCATTAAATTTCTAATGAATTAGTTGAGATCAATCAATAAGTATCACTAAATTTTCTCAACTCCCTCACATGCGAATGTCCCACCGATTTTTAAGGTGGACGATACATCTTTCATTGTGTTGGTTTGCCAAACATTAACTAGCGCAGTAGAAAATAATAACGGAGTTTGGTATGCGAATTGTTTTGCCTTATTTTGGATTTAAATTCCTCTGCCATCTCCTGATTTGCTTTATAAATTTCAAATAAAATGTTGCTCATTAGCTACCGAAAAAAATTGGCTCAGATATTTGATTAAATTTTTAATCAGCATGAATTTAGAAATCATTACATTTTTTTTCTGATAAATTAGGAATTATTTCTTTCTTATAATTTATGGAAATAAAATAATGCCTGGTTGTCAATCTGCAGCAATCGAGACAACTCTATGGTCAATCGAGTGGGGCATCGCCGAGTTAGTAAACAACCCCGAAGTCCAGCGCAAGCTCCGTGAAGAACTGGACACAGTCCTAGGCCCCGGCAACCAGATCACCGAACCTGACACCCACAAGCTCCCCTACCTCCAAGCCGTCATAAAAGAGACCCTCCGGCTTCGCATGGCCATCCCCCTCCTCGTCCCCCACATGAACCTCAACGACGCCAAGCTTGGCGGCTACGAAATCCCCGCCGAGAGCAAGATCCTCGTCAACGCCTGGTGGCTCGCCAACAACCCCTCCCACTGGAAAAACCCCGAACAGTTCCGTCCCGAGCGCTTCCTCGAAGAAGAATTCAAAGTCGAGGCCAATGGAAATGACTTCCGATTCATCCCCTTCGGCGTCGGCCGCCGCAGCTGCCCCGGCATCATCCTTGCCCTCCCTATTCTGGGAATCACCCTCGGCCGCCTCGTTCAGAACTTTGAGCTCCTGCCTCCTCCGGGCATGGAGAAGCTTGACACTGCTGAGAAGGGAGGGCAATTTAGCCTCCATATTCTTAAGCATTACAATGTTGTCGCCAAGCCCAGGGTTTTCTGACGTAACGGTCTCGGTTAAGAGTTCCTATTTTGTTTGTTGCTTTGCTTTAACTTTTCTAAATGGGTGAGGGAAGGAATGGGTTGATGAGTACTGGTAATGTCTGGTGTTGCCAAATCCAAAGTTTTTGATGAAGTTTGTGATCAGAAATCCTGGATTTGGCGGACACCAGACTGTTATGGAATTCATCAACCCATTCCTTGAAGCTTGATACCGCTCGGTCAAGTTCTGGTTCTATTTCTTGCTTTTATGTACATTTTCGAAGTGATTGAAGGAAGCGGGGGGTTGATTTGTTCAGAGACGATATATTTGGTGGGAATGGAGTGGATGTTTACTGGTACGTAAATTATGATCATTTCGAATAAGAATAGAACTCTGTTTTTAATGTTGTATTTTTTCGGATTAGTTATTAATCGTGTAACGTAAATTTAACAAATTAAAAAAATGCAGCAACAATCAGAAGTGACGGACGATTACTTTACTGCCGCCTTTAATAGAGATAAAATATCTTGATCAGCAGCCCTAAGCCGAAGTTGGGAGGATATCTTCGATAGACTCGGGTTGGCTTATTTATGTACATTCACCAACATAGCACTGGTTATTTATGAATAGCTCAAAAATGTTTGACTCTTATAAAAATCTTGTACAAGACCTACGTTTTGCGGGTTAATTAATTGATGCATCGGCCGCTCCTGGTGCATATGATGGCCGATTGGGGGAGCACACGTTAAATTCATCCGCAAATAAAATGTTTTCCTTGAAAAAGAACTTGCACTTCGTAAGAAATAACAATAAAAAAAGCTCGATACGCTCAGTACCGCCAACTACCCTCGTCTAGTGGCACATCATTAATTAGACTCCAACATTCAACAAACGCCTGTTGTCCGGTTCTCCAATGCCAGACTAAATTTATATAAACCTTTTGAAATCTCTCTCTCTCTCTCTCTCTCTCTCTCTCTCTT